AGCCTGCCATCCAGTCCATGCTGACTCAGCGTGACCCCTTAGGACAGGGTAGAGCTGCCCCTGTGGGTTTCTAAGACTGTAACTCCTCACGGGAGTCGATAGCCCCCTCTGTCTCCTGAGGACAGGCAGGTGGCTTAGCTCTGCTAACCTTGCTGTTAGCGGCCCAACATAGAACCGCTAGGCCATCGGGGCTCCGCCTTAAAAAGCCCCAGCTTCTAGAACAGTCTGAAAAATGGCGAGCCTGCTCCGGCTTCAGTGCCAGCTCACCGGATGCTTCTAGAACATTCCACCCCTCTCCCCTAACGCCCCTCACCAAAGGCTCTCTTGGGCTGCACCAGGCGGAGGGTGAACGGCTGGGACTTGGGCAGCTCCCGCAGCATCTTGGCCACCTCATAGTGCCGGCAGCCGACGATGGAGTGATCGTTGATGGCCTCAATGCTGTCGCCCACACACACGGCCTCGATGCGGTTGATGATACTGCCCTCCTTGATCCTCTGTGGGGACCCAGCGTCACGCCCATGCCACCCAGCCCCCACCCCTTCGGGCCCCCAGGGCTCTGAGCACTTGGGTCTCCCCCCCAGGCCTGCAGGCACCGCACAACCTTGAGCACCGACCTTGATGAAGGCGTAGCCGGCCCCGTTGTCGGTGATGGTCAGTCCCAGGGCATCCTCTGTCTTGGTGACCTCCACTTCCTTGGTCTCGCCCCGCACGTGGGCGAAGATGAAATCCTCCAGGCCGATCTGGCCGCCCAAGAGTTTCTGCATGTCCACCTTGTGGCTATTCAGGGTACAGAACAAGATCTGGCCCCCAAGGGGGGGAGGGTGTGAAGTGGAGAATGAACAACAGTGATCCCTGGCCACCCTGTCTGCCCAGAACAACCGAGATGACAGCTCTCAATACGTTAGGGAAACAGAGGACGACAGGGGCATAAAGCTGGCCCCGGTGGCCCTCGCCCACCTCCACCCCCAGGATTCCAATAGCAAGGGAACAATGGGTGACCAGTGGATTCCTACCACGGGCGATCCTAAGAGTGTGGAGTAGAACTGGTGCCCCAGAGGGCTTGCAAAGCTGTGACCTTTACGAATCAGAGAGCCGGGCCTTTCTCCAATGAGACCAGGGGTCTGTTGGAACGGACTGGCTAGCCTTCAGTGCTGGACCGTGGGTTGTGTCACTCAGGGATTCCTCCGCGGATCCCAGCCACGGGAAAAGGCAGGGGAGTGGGCGACCGCCCAGAATGGGGTGGGGACCTGAGAAGATTGGGGCCCCTAAGAGACCCTCACCCCCACCCCCATCCCAGCCCCACCCTCAGAGTTCCAGGTTTTACCCCTCGGATCTGGCGCGCTCTCAGCAGTGCGGGATTCACGCGCGCCCTCTGGGGGCTGCAAGGGGCACGGACCTGAGCAGGCGGGGTGGAGCGGGGGACCCCTGCGGCCGCCCAGCCTGGACCCCGCAGGGTAGCTGGCCGCTCCTCTGCTCCAGGCGGCTCAGACCCCAGCCCCTAGCCGTGCCTGTGACCCTTAGAGGCATTCCCGGGGCCGGAGATGGGGTGGGGAGCGCGGGGCGGGACTGGGACCTGTTCCCAGCTGGGTCCAAGGAATGGACTCCTGGAAGTGCTGGGGTGGGCTCCGTGCGCTCGCTTCTGCTCCCAAGAGCCTGGGGAGCCCCCGGGGTGTGGGCACCCCGGATTTGAGAGCTGCGTTCTCGAGATCAGGGCATCAGGCCCCTCTGCCAGGGATCGGAGCTCCCCCCATCCGGGCATGGGCCGCCCCGTCGGGGGATCCGGCCGGGCGGGGTCTCCCCGGCTGGGGCCCGACCCAGGGACCCTCACCTCGGTGGGCGCGATGCCGAAGGCCTCCGCGATCTTGGCGTAGAGCTCGCGGACGTTGCTGAAGCCCTCGATCTGGCCCGTGGGGCTGCCGTGCGCC